ATGAAAAATATTAAGGCACCCGGTCCGGATGGTTTCCCGGCTGAGTTTTATAAGAAGTGCTGGCACATTATTAAAGGGGACCTGTTGCCGATGTTCCATGATTTGTTCTCGGGACATTTGCAGCTTTTCCAGCTAAATTTTGGAACAATAACCCTGCTCCCTAAGAAAACAGAGGCCGTGATAATCGAGCAATTTCGGCCTATCTGTCTTCTGAATGTCAGTTTCAAGATTTTTACCAAGGTTGGGACGATTAGGCTAACACAGATTGCGCACGCCGTGGTGCAGCCTACTCAAACAGCCTTCATGCTGGACAGGAACATCCTGGAAGGGGTTGTGGTCCTTCATGAAACGCTCCATGAGGTCCACACGAAAAAACTTGATGGAGTTATTTTCAAAGTGGATTTCGAGAAGGCATATGATAAAGTCAAATGGCCGTTCCTTCAACAGGCCTTACGCATGAAGGGCTTTGATGAAGCTTGGCGGCGCCAGGTGGAAGCATTCACGCAAAAAGGGAGTGTTGGTATTAAAGTGAATGACGATATAGGCCATTATTTCCAAATGCATAAGGGGTTGAGACAAGGCGATCCTATGTCCCCAATATTATTCAATATTGTGGTTGACATGTTGGCGATCCTGATAGGGAGGGCAAAAGAAGTCGGTCAGGTGGGTGGCTTGGTGCCTCATCTGGTCGATGGTGGTGTGTCCATCCTGCAGTACGCTGATGATACAATCATTTTCATGGAACACGATTTGGCTAAAGCGAGAAACATGAAGTTATTGTTATGATTATTTGAACAATTGACGGGGCTTAAGATTAATTTCCATAAAAGCGAGCTGTTCTGCTTTGGTAGACCCAAAGACGAACAAGAGACATATAGACAATTGTTTGGTTGTGAAGTGGGAGCTTTACCTTTTACGTATCTAGGTATTCCCATTCACCATCGTAAGCTAACAAACAGCGAGTGGAAGTGCATAGAGGATCGGCTTGAGAAGAAACTGAGTTGCTGGAAAGGAAAACTCATGTCTTATGGAGGCCGGTTGATTCTTATTAACTCGGTGCTCACGAGTTTACCTATGTTCATATTATCTTTCTTTGAGGTCCCAGTTGGGGTTAGGGAAAGACTGGACTTCTATCGATCCAGATTTTTTTGGCAGAGTGATGAAATTAAGAGAAAATACCGACTAGCCAAATGGGATATTATCTGTCGACCAAAGGACCAGGGGGGCCTTGGTATTGAAAATTTAGAGGTCAAGAACAGATGCCTGCTTAGTAAATGGCTGTATAAGTTGTCACTTGAGACGGAGGCAACATGGGCGCAGACTTTACGTAGTAAATATCTGCAGTCCAAGACCCTATCCCAGGTCACTGTCAGACCAACTGATTCGCCGTTCTGGAAGGGGCTCATGAGAGTCAAAGCTACCTTCTTTAATAGAACTAGGTTTATTGTCGGTAATGGCAACAACACTCGATTCTGGGAAGATACGTGGCTTGGTGACGCGCCTTTGGCGACCCAGTATCCGTCCATTTATCGTATTGTTCAGCGCCGCGAGGCTCTTGTTGCTACGGTCATGCAGTCCATTCCACTTAACATTCAGTTTAGGAGGGTGCTTGTGGGTGATCGGTGGGAAGCATGGCTTCACTTGGTTCGTCGACTGATGGAGGTTTAGTTAACTCCTCAGCCCGATCAGTTGCGGTGGAAGCTTACTAGATCTGGGGAGTTCACAGTTAAATCGATGTATATCAATATTATTAACTCTAGTGTGATTCCTAGTTCCAAAGAGGTTTGGAAAGTCAAGGTCCCTTTGAAGATCAAAGTGTTTATGTGGTTTGTTCATAAACAAGTAATTTTAACAAAGGACAATCTAGTTAAGCGAAACTGGACAGGCTCTACTAGGTGTAGCTTCTGTGATCGGGAAGAGACTATCAAGCACCTCTTCTTTGACTGCCCGTTGGCACGAGGGTTGTGGCGCTCTGTGCAAATTGCCTTTAACATTACTCCTCCGACTTCGGTCAACATGTTATTCGGGACGTGGCTTGCTGGGATAGAGCCAGAAACAGCTAGACACATTCGTGTAGGAGTGTGTGCGTTGTTATGGGCAATTTGGAATTGCAGAAATGATTTGGCATTTAACAGAACACCAACTATTCATTTTTTGCAGGTTTTATTCTGGGCTACTGCGCTGATCCGTATGTGGTCCTTACTCACTCTGACGGAGGCCAGGGAGCGTTTGATTACTAGATCTGTCCGGTGGGAGATGGTAGCGCGGGATATCTTCAACCGGTTTGGATGACGGTCATGTAATAGGATAGGCGATTAGTTTACCTATCTGTTATTTTGCCAGCCGGTTGTGGCTTGTCAGGTTTTCTGTTTTGGCGTTGACGCTCTGTGTGAGCTAGCTGATCCTTTTTGTTCACAGACTTAAAGACCTTGTTGAACCTTTTTACTTGCTAATAAATGTGGTTGTATGCATCGTTCTGATGCAGAGACCGGGGAGTCCCCTTTTCGAAAAAAGAAAAAAAATCTGATGCATAAGAGAAAAAGTCGCCAAACACCACAAAATTTATTTATTTGTTAAACATGATAATTTGATTTCTTGAAGTTAAATGTGAGGCGACTTGCTTCGAAAATCATGATAATATACATCAAAAGAGAATTTGCAGTTAAGATCTCTTCTGGTGAAATTATTACTATTTTATTTTATTGGCAATCATAGTGGCAAATTTAAGTTAGCACAAACTTAATGATGTTTTTATAATAATGAAGCGGAATATTATGTAAGTTATTTTTTCACACTTATGCTTTTTAAAAAACTTGGCCTATATCAAGCATAATGTTCAACAGTCATAGGGTGCTAAGTTTGCTCTTTCCAGAATAATTACTTGAGAGGAACACGAGCAGTCACAACCCTTGTCCGCACTTTAGCTGTCCGTTTGTACGTATCTTGAGACAGATTGGCGACAAGCGGAGGCAGGCCTTGGTGCAGAGGAAGTGCTAGGCCGTGGTCCTATGATATAGTAGTCATGCAAAATATAAACATAGTAGTCATAACAACATTTGCATGACTACTATGTTTATATTTTGACTTCATATTCACCGGCGGAGCTATGTTGAGGTTGAGGGGGCCTATGCCCCTCTCTCCTTCCTTGGACCAAACTAAGATGTTTGGAGCTATTTTATACGTTGTGTACTGTAACACCCAATTGTGTTCTAGACCAGATATTTAGGCTCAAGTTTGCACAGGCTTCACAAAATTTCTAGCTCCGCGATTGATCGTGGATGAAAAAAATATATATGAACAAATATGTATTTTAAACAGGGGTAAAGTTGTATAAAAATGCACATGGTGTACGAAAAAAGTAGACATAAAAAATATATTTGAAAAAAATGTTAATCATGTATTTAAAGAATATTAAACCTATATAAGAAATGTTCCCAATACATACAAAATATGTAAACCTGTATGAAAAAGCAGACATGAAAAGATATGTTCAAAAATAATCCTAATCATGGATTTGAAAAATATTAAATTTTATAAAAAATATTCGTAATGTGCATGAAAAATGTAAAAATTGTATGATAAAAAGTATATGTCAAAACATATATTTGAAAAAAATGTTAATTACGTATGTGAAAAATGTTAAATGTGTATAAAGAATGTTAGTGTTGCATACAGGAAAAAATGTTCATTGTGTATTTGAAATAAATTATGTGATGGGAAAAAACTTGATGTAATTCAAAACAAGTGTTTCATACAACTAAAATAATGTGTGTGACATTTTTATTAAAATGATTATACAGTCTTGATTAAAAAGGGAGAAAATCGGTACACGTGACTCGTAGAAAAAAGATGAAGGAACACAAAAAGAATCATTGAAAGAAATGCAAGAAAAACACAGAAAACCGGTACGCATGACTCGTAGAAAAAAAACAACCAAAGGTTCTAAGTCCAATGGAAGCCGTAAAGAAAACTTGAAAAGGGGAAGAAATAAACTAACATAGAAAACCGACAAAAACCGCATGAAAACTGAACCAATCAAGCCAGTATAGATAGAAAAATATATTGCTTTGAGAGAAGATAGAAATATAATTGCAACGAGCGGAACATTTGCAATCCGATAGTTGGGCCGGCCCATTGACGGAAGCGCTTCAGGCGAGTCCCAAGCAGGTACCAACACTCCCCTCAAAAAAAAAAGTAGGTACCAAAACTCCCGCGCAACTCGATTTCGCCCGCTTCTGACTTCTGCCGGATCACTCGTTGTTGCCGTGTCGCCATCACGTATCAAAAATTTCTGGAAGGATTGTACGCTACAAGTTCCACCGGCCCGTGAACTTGCGTCTTGTTCCCATGCATGACCAACCCCGTCTTCCCTGCCCAATCCATCGACACGGCACTCGTATGCCGCCAAACCCACCATCCTCCCATAAGAAGTCGGCACACAGATAACAGTTTGTCGCGCAGCAAAACACTGGTCCGCACGTACTACATTGTTTCTTTGTGCAGCGCACAATCCCTTTTCCAGAACAAGAATGTTTCGTGGATCAGCAGGACATTTGCAGCCCGATTAAAAGATTGGCACGCACAACCACATTTCGTGTACGCTCCTACTTCGGCTAAGTTGCTCCTCGGGAGCAATGTTGTATGTTACTCCCTCCGTTCTAAATTACTTGTCTTGGATTTGTCTAAATACCGATATATCTAGACTTATTTTAGTGCTAGATACCTCCGTATCTAAACAAATCTAAGACAAGTAATTCGGACCGGATGGAGTAGCTCTGTGCCAAATTCCCCATTTTGTACAGTAACCAACAACGACCTGCGTCGCATACACCCCACGAGGAGTAGGTTACAAAGTCTCCAATCCTGCCGAAAACAACAACATCATGGGCCAATAATAAGGAGTAGTACCCAGAAAGATAAGGATTTCCATTAGGAGCGCCTCTTTTTCTTTGCGAAAAACTTCCGATCGAGCACCTTATTAGTGCAGGAGTATTAGTTTCATGCAAAAAAACAAGAGTATCCAATATTCATTTCGTGCAAGAAATGCTACTATATTACTCCAGGAAGATGTGAGCGAGTCACAACGAATCAGCAGGATCTTTTGCAGAGTTATTACCAGTCATTCACGATGCTCTCGAAATATTATACGTAAGGACCAGTTGCAGAGGCCTAGAACCTCAGCCCAGGCAAGAACCTCTCCCATGGCGCACCCTGCCATCCTCCTCCTGGCGCTCCTCCTCCTCCTTGCTTCCCCCGCCATTTCATCCACCAAGAGAACCCAGCAGCCAAAGTTCCCGGCCATCTTCTACTTCGGCGACTCCATCTTCGACACCGGCAACAACAACCACATCCCGACTCTGGGCCTGGCGAACCACCCACCATACGGGAGGGACTTCCCGGGGAGCAGGCCGACGGGGAGGTTCTCCAATGGCCGGCTCGTACCGGACCTCCTCAACGAGAGGCTGCAGCTCAAGGAGTTCGCGCCGCCGTTCCTGGACAGAAGCCTGTCCGACAAGGACATCATGACGGGGGTGAACTTCGCGTCGGCCGGGTCCGGGTTCGATGACCGGACGTCGCACCTGGCCAACACCATGCCATTGTCGGCGCAGGTGGACCTCTTCAGGGACGAGTACCTTCCTCGCCTCAGGAGCATCGCCGGGGACAAGGAGGCTGCCAGGATCATTGCCAGCTCTCTGATGTTCATCAACGCGGGAACCAATGATTTTACTCATTACTACTCCCTCCGTTCCTAAATACTTGTCTTTCTAGAGATTTCAACAAGTGACTACATACGGCGCAAAATGAGTGAATCTATACTTTAAAATATGTTTACATACATCCGTATGTTGAGTCCATTTGAAATGCCTAGAAAGACAAGTATTTAGGAACGGAGGGAGTACCGTTCATCGAGGAGGAGGCTGGGCATTGGTGAATACCAAGATACTGTGCTCCAGTTGGTGCGTGCTCATGTCAAGGTAAAATTAGGCAATTCTGATACCAAGCTGCTTCTGTTATAAGTATTCTGTAACATATAAACCACAACTATGTTTATTTTCTCAAAATAATAAAACCTGAACTGGAATGCAGGAGCTGTATAACCTCGGGGGGCGGCAGTTCATCTTGGCAGGTCTTCCTCCATTTGGCTGCATACCCTTGCAGATCACATTGAGTGGAGACCTTGAGAGGGGCTGTGTCGATGAGCAGAACAGTGAGGCCCAGGTCTACAACTCCAAACTTCAGAAGTTGATTCCAACATTACAAGGCTCACTCAGAGGAAGCAAAATTGTGTACTTGAACGCCTACGAAGCTTTGACGGTGATCCTTCAGGGCACCAATAAATATGGTACGTTTTCAAGTAAATGTCATGATTCCCAACTTATATCTAGTAACAGTGGACACCTCTAAGATCACTAATACTCCACGGTAGCTTGCTAATTCTGCTTTAGCTATGATTAATATGCTTTCTTGGTGTTTTTATTCAGAACTAACTACACTGATTAGTTATTTCTGAATAAAAACACCAAGAAAGCAGTAATCAGTTCTGAATAAAAACACCAAGAACTAACTACTGCTTTCTTGGTGTTTTTATTCAGAACTAACTACACTGAGTAATAGTAGCTAAATCAGAATTAGCAAGCTACAAATAGTTAGTTCAGCTGGAAAACACCAAGATTGCATCATAATCCTAGCCAAAGAAGAATTATTAAAGCATGGTGATATACTTGGCCATGTACAACTAGAAGCTTTTAGAAGAAAGCCAAAAAGCTAACAGTTTAATGGCAGAAAGCAGAGTTATCAGTTTGAGTTATTCTTGTCACCCTACATGCTTTCTTGTAATTATACCAGTTCTCATCGACTTTGCCATGATAACAGGATTTACAGAGACAACACTGGGATGTTGTGGGACTGGGCTCACAGAGGTCGGAATACTTTGCAACAGATTTACCCCTATCTGCAGGAATGCGTCATCCTATGTATTTTATGATGCGGTGCACCCAACAGAGAGGGTTTATAGGATAGCAACCGATTACATAGTGAAAAATGTAATTCCACAGTTTTAAAGAATCAAATGCTCAAATAAGATATATTTTTTCTCATTGCATTAACGAATTAACCTAATGCGTTTGGTTCGATCTTTTGACTTTTACTTGAAGTCTGCCTTGTAAGAAAGAGTCACTGGCATGTGTTTCCTTTGTTATGTTATACACAATATGATAAGCTGAGCATTCTCAGAAATTAATTTAAGAAAGGAAATCAAGAAATCAAAGGCATAACATGTGTTTCGTTTGTTATGTTATACACAATATGGTAAGCTCAGCATTCTCAGCAATTAATTAAGAAAGAAGATCAAGAAATCAAAGGCATAACATGTGTTTCATTTGTTATGTTATACACAATATGGCAAGCTCAGCATTCTCAGCAATTAATTTAAGAAAGGAAACTAAAAAGTCAAAGGCATAACACCGTGATCAGGTTATGTAAACTCGAGAAGCTAGAGAAGGGAACTGATTGGGAGTAACCATTCTCACCTCAAATAGATCTGTAACTTGTGAATGAATGGAGCTCTCAAGTCCCAACTCCTCCGTGCAAGCATATAAAAGAGGAATGTGGTATCCAGTCCAATCAATAATCTGCAGCTGACAAAGTTGACTAGTTAAAATGTCTCACATTCTGAAAGAATGAGTTCAAAACAAACCACAGTGAAGGCAAATTCAGAGACTGAGGAACAGAACATTCTTCACCTACTGTGGCACTAAGATATATAACTACATGTGCAGTTATTTGATATTCCAAAATAGTGCACAAGCTCAGAACACCATTTTAGCAAAAGGAGCATCGGTCGTGCATGATATCAGCATATGTACACACAGACGAGGTATTCAGTAAATAACAAACTCTATTTGTCGAAGGGTCAAAACGAACTTACTTCAGGATAGCAGCATTCAACAGTTTAATGAAGAGTAATTTGAAAGCATCAAGTGATTAATTTAGAGAAGGAACACCAGTCATTCAAGAGTCAAAAGGCATGCTTCCACAAACAGCGCAAAATTGTACTCCGTTCAGAAATAAGTGTCGTTGATTTAGTACAAAGTTAGTAGGGAGTAAATGATAAAGAGAAGACCCGTTATCCCATATGGGCTTTACAAAAAGAATATACACTTGTGTTGACAACTGAATTTTCAAGAGTTGTGGCCTTAGCCACAACCTTTCATTTGAATAACTTTATGACAGAGTTTTTTCAGAAATTGAAGGGAAAATATCATTGCAAATTGTTAAAAAAGAAAAAAAATACAAGAGAAATACAGACCCATCTGCTCAGGGCATATCACACCCATAGGAGAGAGGGACCAGATTAACTTGCATGCTTTCTATAATAACCATACTACTAGGCTAACCATCATAAAAGTTGGGTCACACACACGCAATCACAACAGACAACTGCCAAGCTTGGCAGATCTGACTTAAGATAAGCGTTTCTCCTTCATCACCTGAACAACCAGGCACTGAAACACGATAAATAAGAAGACAGATAATGTTTTGAATAAGACTACCATTAACAACTGACAGAGAAATGCCTACAATAATTTACACAGTTGGAGAAGACAATGATTTGCGCGTCTAATATAAAGCCTAACCTCATGGCAAAACACCATCAAACCCAAAGTGGTACCATTATTTCCCCATTATCCATGTTCAGAACTTCAGATATCGGCCACAACAGTACTTTAGTGATGATACGAAAATCACAGGCACGACCAATAAGATGCTACAGTACAAGATAACCAATCATTTCCCAATTCCTTCAAACAAATGTTGGATGCATGCCTCAACATCCTCTGGGGTATGCTTGATGAACAGATCCTGCGGAGGATCTGGAGACGATCTCAGCCTCGCAATCAAGCCCTTGTATGCAGGCAGCACCGAATCTGCTATTGCTGCCTTAACATCGGCGCGCAGCTGATCATCCGTGATCACCCACTCGGACTGGGCCGCCCGAATCTCCTCCAGGTAGCCATTGAACATCTGAAGTTTCTGAAGCATGGCCTTCGGTGGGAGACCAGAAAACCCAGAGCCTCCGGTCTGCAGCACCGACATCACCTTCGCCCACGCCCCGCGCTGGTACTCCATACTCCACCGGCGCACTCTGCTCAACATCTGCTTCATCCAGTCATCGCCGAGTAAAACCCCAAGCTCACTGTCATTCACCTTGTGGATGACGTACTTGCCATTATTCATCAAGAAGATGGAGGCCAGCGGCGGGTCCCTGTATATCTTGGATTTGCTCTCCAGATTCTTGTGAAGCACGTCCATGATCCACGCAATGTGCACCGCGAGCGACGAAGTGGGGCGGTCAGGATCGACGGCAATGGCGGTCACGCCGAGAGCACCCAGGTCACCTTCCATCACCTCTTCCAGTGTCTGTCTTGAACCACATGCGGCACGGAGATAGTTCATGACATAGCGAGTGATTGGGTGTATGCCGCCGCCGGGCACCGCAACGCGAGCCGGGTCACGGCGGATAAGATTCTCCAGCTCCATGAATATACCTTTGATGGAGGAGCCGAGGGTGTTGCACACAGCAGAGACCTCGGCGCGGAGCGCTGCGGAGTAGGGGTCGGCGAAAACAGGGTCGAGGTCGGGGAGGAGATCGCGCACCGCCTCGTACATGTCGATGACACGAAAGAGGCGCTCCGGCGCGCGGCTGGCAGCGGCAACCGCGTCGCCGAACGAGATGAGCTGCAGCGCCTGGGTGCGTACCGCGGCGACGAAGGCGAGGTCGCCGTAGGGGGCGAGGCCCTCGAAGACACGGTCGGGGAGGCGGCGCTCGCTGGGGATGAGGATGCGGAACACCATCTTGAAGGCCGGGATCCACCGCGCAATGTCGAACTCGAGCTCCTCCCAGGGCAGGGAGTGGACCTCGTCGGAGGTGCGCGAGCGGATGCCGAGGCGCGCGACGCTCTCGTCGATGAACCCGCGGCGCGCGGCCGCGTAGGCCTCGGCGCACTCGCGGCCGAAGCCCGCATCCACCATCCTCCGCGCGATCTGGTGCACGTCGGAGACGGACCCCGGGGGCAGGGCGTCGATGACCACGTCGAAATCCGTGACCGGCTTGGCGATGGGGATGGGCTCGTCGCCGTAGCCGTCGTCCGCGTCGTAGTCCTCGTCGTCGCTCTGCTCGGAGTCGAACCCGCCGGGCGCCGCCGGGGCCGCGTCGTCGGGGCGCTCGATGAGCGCCCGGAACTCGTCCTCCAGCCGGGCCATGCACCGGCTGAGCAGCTCGTCGGCGCGGTCGAGCAGCCCGCGGTTGGTCCCCGCCGCGTCCAGCTCCTGCACGGTGCCGATGAGGTCGTCCACCGCCTCCAGGAAGGCGTCGGCGTCGGCGGAGTCGGCCCAGACGAGCCTCTCCATGGTCACGAACTGCGAGATCTGCCGGTCCAGCGTGCGCACGGTCCGCTCCAGCGACGTGACCGGCGCCGGCATCGCCGCCGCCGCGGCCGAGGGCAGCACGGGCGGCGGCGAGGAGGCCGGCATCGACATCGAGTGCTCCCCGGCCCCTCCTCCTCCTCCTCCGGCCGCGGCCGCCGCGGCGTAGAGCTTGTCGAGCGAGAGGCGGCCGTCGTAGTTGGAGAAGACCTTGAGTATGTCCTCCGTCATGGTGCCGGTGCGGCCCAGCGTCTTGGCGATGTGCTGCACCGTGGCCAGCAGCTTCTCCTCGCCGTCCTCAGCCATCGGCCGCGACAGGGACCCGACGCCGGACGGCACTCCCGGCGAGGCTCGAGCTAGGGTTTGGTCACGCCGTCGGCGGAGGGAACTCGTTGGAGTGGCTGCGGTGGGGGAGAGCGGTGGTGTTCTGTGCCGGACAGCGACAGCTCGTGAACTGGGCGCTCACCTGCTAGCAGAGCACGGCTGTAAATTGCGACGTGTGGATGAAAAATTACCGTGGGGAGAGGAGGGTAAATTCGTTGTGGGCGGCGGACTAGGGTGTTGTTTCGCCGGGTGAACGGTCGAGTAAAAATTTGGTGACCTCGGGAGAGGGGAAAGGATGGGAGATCGGGCCGCAAAGCATGAATAAATGCAGGCAGCGACACCGCTCGGGGAGACGGGGAGGGGTTTTAATTCTCGCTGACAGGTGGGGACACAGCCGACGATGCGCAGGTGTGTTAGGGTTTTGGACATTTGGTCGCGTCGACACGGAAAGGTTTTAGCGACAAAGTGCGGCAGGGATGGCGTGATCAACGGGAAAGTGGAGGTGGTTGGCTGCTTAACTCTTTTTTTTGAGACGAATTTGGCTGCTTAACTTGGGCTCGGGTTGCTGCGTAGGGAGGAAAAGCCCAGGTTGTGCTTTCGACTGGCGCATAGCCCAAATCGAATGCAGGCCCGCTGGCAACGTACCCACGGGCACGCCGCGACAGAAGCCCTAAATAAAACCAGTTACTTTTAAATACGGAAAAAACGCAGATGATCACATATTCACATACACGCACGCACACTTTTTTTTGCGAGGATAAAAGGGATTTGTATTACTCAAGAGCTAAGAAGGACCTCCTTACACAAGCTAGGGATATTTTCTGGGCCGGAGCAGAGCTAGACCACAGTACGGTCTTCCGTTCTTCCAAAGTTAGCCAACACATGACTTACATTATTCTGCTCTCGAGAAATATGAACAAAATGACACTCCCTTTCACTCATAAGACGCTTCACTTCCGAAACCATCATGGCGTACTCTCTGAACATACGTACGCACACTCTGAAATATTGAGCCAACACAACATCTTAGATTGACGAAGTCGTCACAACTTGACGACTTCGTGAGTTGATAGAAACGTCTTTCCTTACTGAACGCACATCACGGGAAGGCCTAAAACAAATTCAAGAAAATGCGATCGATAGTTTCAAGTCTAAGATTTTATCGAAGCGCGTCAAGTAGTGCGCCCAGTTGTCATCACGTGTCACGCACTTGCTCACCTTCAGATTTCTTCTTATTATTCATATGTTTTAATTCTTTTCGAGCTTGTTCTTGGTTTTCCCAAGGTTTTGATTGGAAAAAATTGAAAAGCCA